TGTGAGCAATGGACAAGTGGTTTACCCAAGGAAGCAGCTGAGATGCATGGCTGGACTCACCTACCCGAGGTCCCCACAGATGCACACCTGTTTATTGTCTCCCCTGCTGGAGGGTCAGCTCTGTGAGGGCGGAGACCTCACGGGTTTGCTTACTGCTTCATGGCAAAGCCTGGGGTATTCTGGGTGGCAGCGCTAGTGCCTACCTGTAAGAGAAAGGAAGGGAATGAGGGAGGAGAGGGGGGATCCGCTTCCCCCAGCAGGCGGTGTCACCCCCTTTTCCTGCCGCTGTCCCACCTTGGCCAGGTTCTCACCAAGCCTCCTCTGCCTCTGGGCTGCCAGGCGGCTCCTGAGGCAACAGGCCCAGCCCCACCCCTGACCAGGCTTAGCTAAAGCTCCTGCCTGGCTGTGTGTGACACCATCTGAGAGGAGGGCGAGGCCCTGGCCGGCTGGGCCCTCGGGCTGGGTGCAGAGGGCTGGGACCCTACTCCCTTGCCCTGTTGACTGTGCAGCCAGCCAGATTCAGGACTCTTCCTGTGCCCCAGCCCAGCAGGGTTCTTTCCCCTCACTTCCCCCTGAGAGAACACCCCTGTGTGCTTAAGAACACAATGTGTGCTTAGTCAGCACCTCCCTAGACAAGCACCGACCAGTCCCCGGTGCACCTGAGAAGCAGGAGGCAGGTATCTGTTCTCTCCTCTGAGGCCACAGTCCTTGCCCTCCAGCTCCCACAGGACAGGGCAGCCAAAGGCCAGTCTGCTGGGGAGGCCACTTCTCTAGATCACCGCTCTGTGTTTGAAGGTGTGGAGGAGTTTGAGGGAGTCTGGCAATGTCCCTGTGAAACACAGGGTCAGAAATGTATGGGCAGCTAACTGATTTGGATAAAATTGGTGAACATGGGCTGGGGTTGTGGCTCAGCGGTAGAGTGCTCACCTCACAAGCGTGAGGCCCTGGGTTCGATCCTCAGCACCACATAAAAATAAGTAAGTGAAATAAAGGTATTGTGTCCACCTACAACTAAACAATAAATATTTTTTAAAAATCGGTGAACACATAAAGGGCTGTTAAAACAGACTTAGATTCAATTTGTGGCTCCCTTTCTGTTCTTGATGCTAAACAGCCAAGGATTGTCATTTCAAAGTTGAACACACAGCATGACATTTCACCTGTGAATGTGGTGCTGTTGGCACCACCTGAACCAGGGACTCTAGAGTCAGGAGGTACTGGTCTGCCGCCAGAGGAAGTGGGAGGGGCCCCCAAAGAAGAGGCTGGTGTGCACCTCCCCTGAAGGACCCCCGTTAGAAATGCCACCCTCTTCCTGTTGTTCCAACTGGCATAGTTTTCCTTAAAATTTAATAAACCATTTGTTGAATGTCCAACGTGCCCAGAATACAACCAGATGCATGTTGTTTGGTTCGTTTGTGGTTCTGGGGATCAAACCTAGGGCCTCGCACATGCCAGGCAAGGGCCTACAACTCAAGGGCATCCCACATCACCTGCAGGTGTTAAGAGGATTGCTTGGCAGCCACGTGCACTAGACTGAGGAGCAGGACAGGAGTGGGTCAGGGAGATGCATTAGGAGGTCCCCTCAGATGGTGGCATGGTCTGGGGACTGGCAGCCCAGGTGGCAGGAAGAGGGCAGATTCAAGATCTGTTGTGAAAACAGACTCTGATGGAAGGATTGGCTGGGCAGGGTCAGGGGGGTAGGAAAGAGGAGGAGGCAGCAAGGGTGGTTCATGCTTCTGACCTGAGTAACACTCACTCCCAGTGTTAAGGACATTCTCTAGGAATCCTTGCTCCAATGCTTTCCAGAATTCTGACCTGCATCATTCCCCACTGGCCACGGCTAACATGACCCTCACACTCTGGGGTCAGAAGGAAGCATTATCTTTTCCACTCAGCAGATGGAGAGAGGGGGGCACACAACACCAAGGTCAAGCCCCTTAGAGAACCAATTGTATGACTAAACAAAGAGCCAGAGCTTGAACCTCAGGGTAGCCTTTGGGCACCAGAGCCATGAAGACTGAGGTGTGACTGCCAGTTTTATGGCGTGTCATGCATTATGACCTTGAACAAGTTATAAGACCTCTCCCAGACCCAGTTTCCTCATCAGTAAGATGGGAAAATAATGGGAGCTGCCTCAGGGTTCTGCAAGGGCTCAGGGAGGAGGTAGACCCTCGGTGGACACGAATAGCACTATTTCTAGGCCACACAGCTCAGGTCTGCGTGTAGCTCTTTGTGCACGTGCATCTGTCCAGGTGTGCTCCGTGCACAGACACACATCACAGTTGACAGCCAGACCCTGCCGGGTCTGTAGACAGTAGCACCTTTGCAACTAGTGTTTCTGCTTCGCCTCTGGGGAGCAGGAGGCTTTGCCCTTTGGGAACAGGAAGGGGTTGGGTTTGGGACCAACCCTGAAAGTTAGGGCGCCTGTGAAGCCAACCTGTTTCCAATGGTTCAGGCTGACCCGACCCAGGAAGGTGGGGCAACAGCCAGGGTGGGGGCAGAGGTGGGGCAGGGTGGGAGGGAAGGAGCCTGAGAACAGGGTGAGTAAGAGGGAGGGAGCCAAAAAGGGCCCCTGAAGGAATGGGGCATGGAAGAAAATGTACAATCACAGGTCTACAGTCTGGCCGTCCCAGAGTCCCTTCTGGGGGTGGCTTTGGGAGGCTTCCTATCCCCTTCTCCCCACCCTACTCCTCTCTGAGGTCTCCTTTATGTTCCTATTCCCAGGAGGGAGCTGGCACCAAGTGAGGCTGGAGGGTTACAAGGGCGGGGTTCCCCACTTTTTGCCCAGAGCCATTCCAAAGGGCGTGTCCCAGCAGGGTACACACACACACACACACACAGTGATTAAGGGGGAGGGAGGGGCGACAGACACTGTCCACTGCAGGACCCGGCGGGTGGGCTGGACAGCTGCCAGCTCTCCCCCACCCCTCTTGGCTGCAATGTCATCGGCCCTGGCACCACTCACTGGCTTACCCAGCCGCTCCTTCTAGCTTGGAGCTGGAGCCCTGTGAGGAGAGGCTGCCTAGGGCAGGCTGGGTTGGGCACCTCCCCCCTCCCCCCCAGCCCCTGCTGGGGCCCCCCCCCCCCACGTCCCCCTGCCCTCCAAAGTAGGCTCAGCTGGGAAGCTGTAATAAACCAGCTCCATCCCATAGACCCCCACTCTTGGAGAGGACCCCTGAGCCAGAGCGGTTGCCCACTTGCCCCATGATGCCATCTCCTGACTTCATTCCCTCAGCTGACACTCCTGCTCTCAGCCACACAAACCTCTGGCCTGCCTGTCCCACCTCCATCCAGAGCCCCCGTCACATAGCCTGCCTTATTCACTGCTTGGGCTCCTGTCCCCTCTGCAGAAGTCATTTCCCATTCCTCAGTAGTGGATGGTGCTTATGCACTTTACCCCACATTAACAGTCCCCCTGTGCCTTATCTGCCCCACAGATGAGAGCCTCCGAGGGTGGCACTCCACTGCACCCACCCACCTGCACGCCATGGAGGCAAACCCCTGTGGACACATGGCAAACAATTCTGGATTGATACTGCCTCCATCCAGGTCATGTGCTGGCACCTGCCTGGGTATGGGAGTGGAGCATGGAGTTACACTTGATCAGATGTTTAATTAGTGACTTTGTGGACCAAGAGAACTGACTTTTCATTCTTTCACTTGGGTGTTCTGGAAGTATGGGAAGAGGTGGGGTTTGATTAAAAAAAATGGAGTCACCCAATCTTGGACCGCACTATATCTCATGAGGTGTGCACGCCTTCCCCTCAGTCTTTGATTCCTTGATCTAGCACTCCCTCCCCATGTTCCCCAGCACCCTAGCATGGAGGAGCTGGCAAACTCATTCACAGCTGTTGTGGAATTGCCTGATCCCCAGGACTTGGGCATTTATCATTTTAGAGTAACATTTAGGGTGAAACCCAGAGATGCCCTTCCTGCTGCAATCTGGTATGCTTGGCTAGGTGGCAGGGGGACCCCAAAAAGAAATGAGTCACTAACACTGGGATTCACGCAGGGGGAACTTGTTGGAGATGTTTTAGTGGGTGTGGTGTTTCAGAAGCTCACAGATCACAGCCCCTTCTGGCTCTTCTGGGACCAACATGTCTTTGGAGTTTTCATTTGGCTCTGAGGTGCTTTAAGGTTCCTTGCCTGTCCCTGGAAGTCTGGCAGAGGCAGCAGAAGGCTGAGCATCTCACTGTTTCCTGTGGTAGGCACTCCTTCTTGTTCTCGGGGCACACAGGGCAGCTGGTCAGCAGGAAGGAATCTCTCTCCTGGCTCCTCCTCCATTTCTGAGAACAACCAGCTGTTTAGGAGTTAATGACAGTTTTCTCCAGGTGACCAGACAGTTCCAGGGGAAATAGGCCTGAGGGAGCCAGCCAGCCAGAGCTTCCCAGCTGGCAGTTTTCAGATAAGGTGTGGTGTGTGGTTTGAAGAAAAGACTGGGAGAGGGTGGTGGGCCACACTCTCAGTGATGGACAGATAGCCCACGCAAATGTGCATGTTGGACTCTCTTGTTGCCATTTAAGTCAGCCTGTATGATATGTGTGCTGCTTGGTGAAGAGAGGTGGCATTGGTGCCCCCACCTCAGGCCTGGTGACCCCATCTGGGCCAGGCCCTGAGTCCCCTGGGTAGGCAGGAGCTGCATTCGGTGAGCACCACCTGCACTTTGAAGGTTTGTTGTTGTTGTTGTTTGTTTTTGTTTTGTCACTTGAATAGTAACAAACGTTTGTAGTGCTTACTTTAAGTTACAATCACGACCCTTTAAGGAGAAAACATAATTCTAGTAATTTTATTGGGCTCAGATTCTAGGCAAATGGAAACAAAGTGCTTCTTAAAATATAAGAAAACACCCGGAATTGAATAAAACAATAATTTTAAAAGCTTCCTTTGCCTTGAGATAAGTGGTAAAGCATTTTGTGAACTCCTGGGGTGGAGGGAGTGCCCGAGAGAGCCAGAAGAGAAGCAAAACCCCTCCTTGCTTTCATGTCGGTTTTGCCTTCCCCCCAAAGAGCTTAATTTGCGTGTTATAAAGTGAAGCAGAAAGCGCCACTGGTGACATTGGTCCTTGTCCCGCGCTTAACAGTACAGGTGGACGAAAGGGGCCGCCTGCCAAATACTTCTGGTTGGAGGGAGGGGTGGGAGTGATCGCTCCAAACCACTCCTGGAATGGCTTAACGCGCCCAGCGCGAATCAATGACAACCTCTCGCCGGCTGCGGCAGGCTCCCGGAGCAGCGCTGCCGCGTGGATTCCCAGCCCCGGACCCTGGCGGCGCTCAGGACACGGCCGGGGCACCAGCGCGGCGTCCCCGGGGCGGCCAGGTGGGTCTGCGGCGGCCTCGGCCGGGAGCGGGGCTGCGATCTGGGCTCCGGGGAGCCCCGGGCGGTGGGGAGGAAGCCCTTCTGGGCGGCCGAGGAGCTTCGCGGGCGTCTGGCGGCGGCCCCCACCTCCCGGCGCTGCGGTCGTTCTCGCTCCGCGTCTCGGGGACCGTGGGGCGGCTCCGGCAGGCTCTAGCTGACGCGAGTGGCGGAGTCCGCGGAAACTGCAAGCCCCCACGTCGCCCGAGCGGGGCAGGGGCGCGGGGCCAAGCAGCCCGCGAGGGACACCGGAGGGAACCTGGAGCGAGCTCCGCAGCCGCTTTCCCGTCGCCTTCCCAGCGCGGTCGGCCCTCCCGGCGGGCTCTCGCTGAGCGAGGGGACAGCGAGAGAGTTTAGGGGGACTCGGGAAGGCAGTTGCGGATATACGTTGTTAAATAACCGCCCCCTCCGCCCCAGAAACCTGGGTTCTCCCGAGGGTCAGATGCAAAACTTGCGGGAAAACAAAAGCCACGGCAACTCGGCAGAAGCCACGGTCCGGAGACGTGGGCAGAAATTAGCCGGGAATTGACCAGCGTCTCTAGGCACCGCCGGAGGGAGTCCCGCCTGGGTCCCCGGTTCGAGGCGCGGTGTGACGGTCGCTGGGAGCCCTCCCCGCGCTCCAGCGAGGTTGAGGACATTGGGAAGACTCCCTCCCCGGAGGGCAAGTCAAGCTGGAGTCTTGCAAAGCCCGAGGCGGCCAAGTGCGGGCAGGGAACGCGGCGTGGTGTACCCGGATCCCCGCGGGCGCCCGGGCGGGCGACACCCTCCGGAGGGTCTGGGTCTCTTCGAACCAGCGCAGAGGCGGGAAAGGGAGCTAAAAAGAGCTGCCCACCACCCCAATTCCCGCTCGCCGAGGCTGGGGCCTTTGCGCGTGTCCAGGTGCCCAGCGGTGAACGCTCCCAGGAGTTGGGTTCTGCCCCTGCTGGTGCTGTCCCGGTTGTGGCTGTGCCCGCGAGCGGATGCCCTTTTCAGCAGCTGGTACCCGGTTCTGCGCAGGAGTAAGGCCCAGTTCCAGTCTCGCTGTTCCTTGACCAGCTGGTGGCGGACCACTTCCTATCCCTCTAAATGCGGGATTTTGAAAATGTAAAGGAAGTGATTGAAGCAATTAGGCAGTTTTCTCCAGATTAGATAGATTTTTGGAAGGGTTAGGGATGGGAGGAGTGGGGTAATAAAGGCCCTGTCAGGTTCAAGTTTCAGCTCCACTCCTCCCTCCCCCTGCCTTCACCCAGTTAAATTCTCTCCAGGCTTCTCAGAAAGGCCTTAGCCCCTCTGGATGAGTCTCCCGGAGAGGAAAGCAGCCTGAGTGCTGCCACCATTTCCCCTCAAGGCCCAACTTGAACTGAACAGGAAAAGAAATCCGCGTTCCCAGAAAGCTCTGCCTGTCTCCCTGGGTATGGTATTCTACAGAGTATCTGGGGGCATTTCCTAAACTCTCCCAAATGCCCCTTCTAAGGATCATGGCAAGGGAAGCCACCACCATCCTTTATCCACCCCATTTTATAGGCCAAGGACTGAGGCCAGAGGGCAAGGTGAGTTTCCCAAGCGAGGCAGCGGAGGAGACCAGGACCACTTACACAGAATTGTGGCACACCTGTGCCAAGTGAGTCCTGTGGCTCCCAACTTGAATTGCGAAACTTGGTAAAGTTGCTGGGCACCCACCTGTAACCCCAGCAATTTGGAAAGCTGAGGCAGGAGGATTGCAAGTTGGAGACCAGGCTCAGCACCTTAGCCAGACTCTGTCTCAAAATAAAAATAAAAGGTGTAGGTATGTAACCCAGTCTTAAAGCACCCCTGGGTTCAATCCCCAGTGCCAATAAATAAATAAACAATAAACAAACTTGGTAAGATTGGTAGATTTGGAGCCCACCAAGTTCCTTCTGAGCCCTGTGGGGAAATGTACACAGGAAAGGAGCCCCTACCACCCTGATCCCAAGGGGCATCCAGCACAGGTGGATAAGACTTGCACAGCCATAGAGAAAACAAGGGACCAAGTAGGAGGGCCCTGCCACAGTCGGCTGGGACAGCCACTCTGGGATCTAATAAGAGGCACTTGGTGGACAGAGTTTAAGAACAGCTTCAAAAATTACATGACATTGTGGCAGGAACTTGAAAGAGGAAAATGTAGAGAGTAAAGGCCTGGAAGCAGCAGAACATAAGGTTTGTCCTGCTGAAGGAGTGCTGGGAGATAAATCCGAAAGGGAAGGAGGGAGGCGAGGGGCAAGGTGTCTGGAGACCACATACTACATGCCAGACAGCTCAGCGTGCATTATCTCCTCTAGTCCTCCATTCCCATCAGATATGAATCATCAGACCACTCTACAGATGAGGAAACTGAGGCTCAAAAGGATTAAGTAGCTATCCAGCTTGTTGATAACAGGCAGAATTCAAAGCTATCCATTATTGCCCCACATCTTTTAGAATCTTATACCATAATTGGGGAGATGGGAATCATTCTGTATAATTATAGTACAACATAAAGTAGTATACATTACACATGGGATTAGCCATTTTGAACCTAAATATTTTTTTTCCAATCAATCAAAACAACTATTGTATTGTGTACTGTGTGGTTACAGGTGCCATACTAATGGTTGGACATCCAACAATAAGTGAATCACACTGGTCCCTGACTCTCTAGGGGGAATGGTTGGAATGAGGAACCGTCCCCACTCTGCAATTACAAGGACTTGTCCCTGGCTCAAGGGAACACTGAGGAGTGCACACACCATGATCCACCTCTGTTCCTAGTGTCCAGGAAGCCATTTGAGCTCCTGCTGTTCATATGATCAATTTAAGGGTCATGGTTGTGACCAACGAGCATGTAGTTTTGGCACATGCCAACTGGAAGTGACAAGAGACCTGTGCAGCCTGGGAAAGGATTGGCCCCTCTCTGGAGCAATGCCTGCAGAGCTGAAAATTGACCCAGCATGTCCCCTTCCTCATGCACCCGCCAAGTTCCTCAGTGGCCAGGACGGTGTGTCCCACACACTCAGGACTCCTGTGGGGCTTCAAGCCTCCGATCTGACCATTGCGGGGGGAGTTTGTCCACCCTTACAGCACTTGTTGGTAACAAAGCCAGGCCGGGAACCCAGGTCTCCAGCCATCCGTGATTCTCACAGCAGCACACACTGGCCTGCCAGGGAGGTTTGGGGGCTCAACTGAAAAGACCACTCCATCTGCTTGTGCCTGCATTGACAGAGCCATTTCCTGAGACTCCTGTCCTTTTCTGTTTTAGCTGACCGGACATATCTGTCCTAATAGAACGGTGTCAGAGGAATGTTTGAGATGGAGCCGACATAAATATTCCAGGACGTCTGGCCTCTTGACCTTCCTTCCATCTCAAGTGGTGTAATAGGTGTAAGATAACCATCTCTAACATGAACTGTCACTATTGTGAGGACAGTGACCTGATAAATCAGCCTCAGAGTTCTTCCCTTCTGGTGTCTGGGTGATGCTCTGGGATACCAATTCTCTCCAGAAGGATAGTTTTTCTCTTCTTTCTTTTTCCTTTTCTTAAAAAAAAAAAAAAATCCTGGACTTGAGGTCACAGGATCCTATTGCATTCCATTTTGATGTCATGCTGACAGAATAGAGGCATTTTCTCCTAATACGGAGATGACCAGCTTGCTAAGGGTGAGAGCACCCGCCTGGCTGTCCTCGTGTTTACAGCAATTACACAGGTGTATAATTGCATAGGGATATTTGTTTGCTCAGCCCGTACAGACCTACAGGTTGGGCCAGGGAGAGGGCTGTTCAGTTTATTTTCCTTTGGCTGGGAACCACGGAGATGAATAGAGGGAGGGGAATCGGGTGGGGAGATTGTTGCCAAGAGCAATTTGGAGTCTCCTTCATATTAGTCAGAGATCATGTTTTTCCTTTCTGAAGCCACCCGACTAGAGCAACTTCCACGCAGAGCTTTTGCCTCCCATTTTTGTGGTGTGTGTGTTTGTGTGTGTATGTGTGTGCGCTCAAGCGAGTGAGTGGGGTGCATGCTTGTTTTTGTTTTGATTTGTAACTTGCTAAACTTCTCATGACTCAGCAAAAAAAAAAAAAAAAAAGCTTAGGGAATGGAGTGATGAAATGGGTCCTTGATATCATATATTCTGTATGTCATTGCTTAATAAATTTGAATACTGATCGACCCCGAGGTACCATGATAATAAAGTGTGATGAGTAATTCCTTTGAAGGGAGAGTTTATCTTCAGTGGGTGACATTCACAATTGAAGCATAATTTCACTTTCCCTCTGCACATCTCGATCCCATGTTCAGATAAAGAGGGATGCTTGCTGTCTTCCCTGGTACTCGCTTTTGTTCCATTTGGAAGAGCCCTGTATCCTGGCCTTGCTCAGGAGGGGATCTGCCAAAGTGGGGCCTCCTTCTACCCCAGGCTCCCCCACACACATCCCTCCACTGTGTGGGAGGGAGAGGAAGCTCCCCCCATGGGGTCAGAGCTGTTTCCCAAGAGCAGCGTGTCCTGTGTACTCAGGGAGCACAGAACAGGAGCCTTTGCTTGGCTACAGCATGCCCCCCCTGGGGCAGGAACCCTAAGGAGGCTGTAATCCATCAGTCAATAAATGAGTCTATCCACTGGACAAATTGAACAGAGCTACTCTGAGACTCCAAATTTACAGAAGGTGGCACACGATCTCTGTCGGCCTCGCCAGGTTAGATACAAACCAGCTGCAGAAGAACATGTGACCCTCTCCAGTGATTCGTATAACTGGACTTGACCTTCAAGGTGAACTGTGCGGCCTGCACACTGCACACGTGTGTGCATACACACACCGGAGGCTGTTGCCGGTTTTTTTTTTTTTTGCCTATAGATTCTGGCTGACAATTCTGTTCAATCGTTTCTGGAGATAACAGATTGGCCCGCTGGTCTTGGTGAAGCACCTGATAATGGCTAATAGACAGGTGACAGTGGTTTCAGCTCCCATTGACATCTGCCTTCCTCAAGCCTCGG